TCTTTCTATTGTAAACTTTTGGGTTATTCTTAGAGGTCCTATAACTCTTTTTATCATGGTTTCTTTCTTCATCTGCATCTGAATGAATCAAGGTATTGGATATCTTTTTACGATGACCTTTACCCAAGCATTGATCATCCGTTGATATATAATTATCATTAGCTGCAGCGTCTCTCGCTTTCTCTAATGAGACTATAAAAGGAAAAAAAACAGAAATAGTATCCACATACACCACACATATATTAACAAGCTAAGGTTTTTCTTACCAAAGTATTTTTGCACTGTCACTGACATTAAGTTCCATGATTTCTTGTCAGGATCCACACATTTTGAGATCAACATTGATGTATTTTTTATAGAAGGTGGCGGCCACCAGCACATAGTATCCCCTTCATATTCATATAACCAATTTGTCGGCACTTCTGACACGGAGTTGTCGGCAAAACAAACAACTACATAAGCCATTCTACTACAAACAAAATAAGAATAACTGTATCAGATATCATCCATAGCAGAATTGTAAGATTTATTTTATTCTTCATAAATATAATGTATAATTAACTTCTATTTGCACATCTTAAATTGCATTTTCTATTAACACATCTTAAATTGCATATTTGTAAGAACATTGGAATAATATACACAATAATTATGAAAAACATTAATGCTGTGGCGTAATCGTCTCATCTGTTCTTGTTTGGCAAGCGAGAAATCGCATGACAATCAATTCAGCAAATGTGTAAATTCTTCCGAAAACTTTCCTTTTGTTGTAACAAGCAATAAATAGCCATAAAACAGCTACACGTAAAATAGCTATGTAACAGAAAACAGAAAAATTTATTAAAAGGTTAGGTGTGTGAAGCATTAATTTAATAACGGTAATTTATTGCTTGTACAAGAAAAGGAAAGTTTTTGGACAATTGTACAAGTTTGGTGAATCGATCACATGTGTTGTTTTATGAATATATTTTTTTATGTAACGCAGTATATATAATTTTTGCATGCGATTTCTCGCTTGCCAAACAAGAACAGACGAGGCAATTTTTCCGGAACCTTAAGAAATAAATAATTACCTTGGGTTGGACTGGTAACAGCAACAGGAGAATAATTTTTCTGTATAACTTGCAATTTGGCGACAAAGATAAAACAATGTGCTTTACTGAGGCTGTGTTCCGATATTCACAGCCAGTCCTGAAAATGTATAGTTTATGTCACGTATATTGTACTATTTCAGTACTGGCAGTGAATTTCGGAACGTAGCCTGAAATGCACCTTTTTACGAAACGGTTTTAATGTGCACTAGTGTACATCAGCGTTGCACCTTCGAGCCTATTAACATGAAATAATAAACTATAACAACGTTTTTAAAGGGAAAAAAGTTAACTTATATCATTATTTTTTACGTTTTAACAATGATTTTTAAAAGATTTTTTTAATATGTTTTTAAATCTTTTCCTGATTGGGATTATAAAATATATGTCGTATATACGTTGTTCATTATTTTTATTACAAAATGTTATTAATATGAAATAATAAACTGTTTGTGTAATTATATTATTTGCTTGCTATATATAATATTAATTTAGATGATGGAGCAATGGGATAATTACTGGAGATTCTCGTCGAGAATAAATACATTTTATACATTTAGTTTTAACGTTGGAGAGTGGAATTCTAACATTTTCATCACTTGGAGAAATATCAAGTTCACTAATATTAAGTTTTAAGGAGTTACACGGTTTGTCAAATAACGATTTAACTGTGCGAAATTCATCACCAATAATATACAGTTCATTGTCATAAATAATTTTTCTTACAAATAATATTGCTTCATTTTTTAGTAAACAGCAATTATTCGGATGTTTATCGGTAATTGTAAATTCTTTCAATTCAACAGAGTTAATATGCGATCCTGACTTTGCATAATGTATAATTGGATACGAATTTGGTTCTTTTAAAACAGGTATTTCATTTTCTTCATGTAATCTATTATATATTTGTTGCAATGGCTTTGGAGAATGTTGCATTTTGTCTCGTACTTTTCTCAAATAATTTTCAAATTTAAAGCAACTAAATTTATCCAATGGGCCAAAAGTTTTAACATCATTGGCCAAGTGTAATAAATTGTGGATATTATATGACATGTATTGTCGTCCGTACAAAGTTTTATATTTATTAACAAAATATTTTAATAACTGATCAGAATATTCATTCAATGTCATACATACATTTGGATCACATAATAACCTTATTGCGATACTCAATGTAAGGAAATGAGTATAATATACAGAGGACATTAATGGCTTCAAAATCACTGGACCTATATAAAGCAAAAATAATCGAAATTCCGTGGCTTTCCACTTATCGACTTCTGCTAAACTGCGAGGTAATCTTGAAAATTCAGATGGAATTGAACATTTCGTCGCTACAATTGTATCAGATAGATATTTTTGATTATTTTTGCTCAAACGACAATTCTTCGGTCCTCTAATCCAGAAAAGGAGAAGACGTTTCATAACTCCTAAACACACTAAGTGCATGTAGTCAATTGCAACTTGAGAAACCATATCAATATTTAGTTTTTGTAAAATTGTATCACCTGTATGGTGTTCATCTTGTTCCTTATTACGGAAAGATTTGTCAGTTCTCATAGTAAAATTTATTTCTGGGAAAACTACTGATTTAATATATTCTCCTTCCTGAGTACATTTATGACAGCAAAAATAACCAGAATGGCTTTTTGTACACATCAAAAATGACATTGCCGGAGCATCACAAACAATGCCTGCAATTTCAAGTACACATTTTTTTCCACCATAAAAAAAACCATTCTGTTCAATTTTTATAATTTCATTAATAAAAGGTCGTACAAATTCATTTGCATTTTCCGGTTTCGAATAGCCATGATAAATTCCTACAGCGAAAGGTTCAGTATAAACATCTGCTTGAATTGATACCAAAATAGGCCAAAATTGACTTCCCGAGCTTTTTGACAAAGACATTCCATCACAATTAATTAATAATTTAACAGATTTTGGAACTTCTTCCAAATGCTTTCCAATTGATCGCTGAAGATTGTTAACAAGTCCAAAATGAACATAGACTCCGTTATTAAATGTTTTCATAATTTCACTTATACCACTTCGGGGTGTATGCATTAAAGTCCGGACGTCCTTAGGCAATGATTCATATCCACAATCACGCAACATTTTTAATAGTTTCGTCACAGAACCGTGCGCAATCCTCTCTGCATTAACCCAAGATCGTAACCTATTTTCTAAACTATTTTTATTTTTACTTCTTTCATTGAAATCAAAAGTATTATCTATGTTTTTTACATCATAAATCTCTACGGAGAAATTAGAACCTGAATTGATAGTATGTTGCTCCATGTCATTCTGCACCACATCTTCTCCATAATTCCAAAGTATAGGTGAAGTACATAAAGTGGAAGATGAAGATTCCAAACTCGAAGAGCGGAAAAGTTGAGTGTTATCACCAATGGTTAAGTCGTCATTAATAACATTAACTGATGTTGAATGAGTTGTAGTGTTTGAAGTATCCTTATAGACTGCATGTAATGTACAATCTGAAGAAGGACCACTACCAAACATATCCAGATTTCCGTGGGATTCAATTCTCTGACGTATTAGCTGATTTTTTCGTCTTTTAGATAAATATTGCAGCTCTCTTGGCATGTTTAATGTGCTACCACCTAACCTAAACAAAATAAAATAAATTTTTATATTTAATGAAATAAATCATAAATAAAGTAAAATTATTTAAATAACATTGGTAATTATTCAGTTCAGGTCTCACCTCCGATTTCGATAAAAATAGGCCAAATCGACGTGTTTTTTTGCAAAGAAACAACTTTTGTTTATTACGCTAACTCGTCGTTCTGCTCCCCAAAACGCGATATTAGTTTACAGTTCACAACACGCTAGGTTATAAAAACTGTCACACCTCTCTCTCTCTCTCTTTCCGTGGTTGCAAGCCTTTTCTCAGTGGCCCTTTCACCAAAAGTCTAATAAGCAGGTTTTACGCTATAGGAGACGAAAGGTTTAGATTAGTAGAATTTTGGAGTTTCAGGAACAGTTTCAAGAATTGAACAGATTCAGATAGGGTTAGGTTAATGTTGTTATACATACTGGGTAAAAATTTATATAACGTCAACGAGTTTGCAAGTAACATTTGTAATATTACCAATATGTTGTAAATTACATTGTCGTAATATTATAAAACTTTTTATCTTATATGACCTGAATATAAAGTTTTATATAACCAATATGTAATATAAATGTAACCGTCTCAATATTATTTATAAATAACATGTTATATTACTGTTATGTTGTATAGAATGTAACAGATGTAATATTACTTTTAACTTCTAAGTTATATTACTGTTAGAAACTGTGTTTACTGGGTAATATATAATTTGTAAAGTTTACTTTTAGTAGATTTATCTACTATTAGGTATATTAAAAAAAAAGAGATATATATATATATATATATATATATATATATATATATATATATATATTAGAGAGGGATTGAGGTTGAGAGAAAGAGGGGAAGAGGGAGGGGGGAGAGAGAGTGTGATATTTAATTAATAATAAATGAATGATCTTTATTAGCTATAATTTTATTAGCTATTAGCTTTATTAGCTTATTAGCTTTTACATCAAGTTTCTTACAATCTAAATAGAATAGATATAATATATTCTTTTAGATATAATATACGCTGTTAATATATTCTTTTAGCATTTGCTTAAATGTTACAATCTTATCACAACTTTAAATCTGTTGATACGGCATTATATATGCTTACTCCTTTATAAAACAAATTTTTTTACGCACTTTTTGTTTTGCAAAATTGTATTACAATGTTTTTCGATTGTCCCGTTTGTCTCTCATTCGTATCTCCTATTATCAGTATCTTATTTTTCAGCTGTTCAGATAACATACCTTTTATTATTTTAAAGATAAAAATATATATTGTATATACACACATATAAACATATATATTATAAATACACATTACAATACAGCCTCTTACATGGTTATGTCTTACAGCATAACCAATATAGCGCCTATACCAATATAGCATAACTATATACCAATATAGAGATGAACAGAAGTTCCTAGAGAATTCATTTTAAAGAATACATATCTAGGGAGAAACGCGATATCGGATAGACGTCTAGAAGACGTCTATTCGACTGTCTAAGATAGGAATATAGACGCATTTAGATAGAAATGAAATCTTTTAGATGTGTCTAATAGATATATCAAGGGTTGGTAACGTTACTTTATAAAAGTAACTCGTTATCGTTACCATTATTTTCTTTAAAATGTAACTCGTTACAATTACTCGTTATAAATTTTAAAAAGTAACTCGTTACAATTACCGTTATTTAAAAAGTAACGAATCGTTACTTTTTCGTTACTTTTTTAAATGCTAAAATAAGACTAATTATAAGTTTGATAAGGGAAAATGGACGAGAAAGGGAGGGAGAGAGAGATTTATGTGGAATATAGATATGAGACAGAATAAATTGAGATATAGATATATCTGATATACATGGTGTCCCGCCACTATCGCATTATCTCTTAAGGACGGATTCCTGAGGTAATTTAAAGAAAAAAATTCTTATTCAAAAATGTCACGGCTATAATATTTTTCAAATTATAAACGATTAAAGTTGACTAATTATATTAATACGCGCGCTCAGGTACGGTACAACACACAATGGTACAGGTATATGGATATAAGTGAGAATTTGTATAAGATATAAAATTAGTTGTAAATCCCTGAAAGAAACGTCAAATGTGTGACAGCTTCCCTTATAGAAATATCATACTAAGAATCATTGATTAATTACTTATTTTCAGTATTAAAAGTATAGTATTTAGTAATATTCTGTGATTCAAATACAACTTTTAGTACTCAAGTATTTCAATATTCAATGTTACAAATCCTACCTTATGATTGATTTCAATACTTAAATATTCATATGTAATACTTCGTCCAGTGATAAAATACTTACGCAGAACATTGTCAATATTTAAATACTAATATATAATACTTTGCTAAGTGATGAAATACTTACGCAAAGTATTGTTAAGATTTAAAGTATTAACCCAGACAGCATACAATATTAGTAAGTTATTAGATAAATATTTATAAATATTTATTTTGAATTATTCTTTTAAAATATTATATAAATATTTTTTATATAAATATATATATATATATATATATATATATATATATATATA